ATCAGGTAGACTTCCACCCGACTCTCAAACACACACATACATGAGGACCCTCCATTGACTTCCATTCATTTTTGTGGCTGTATTATGCCTAACCCATACCTTAACTCAAACTCATGGGCCATTCCCATCTGTACCGGGTCGGCCCGGGCCGGGTAGCCCCAGTCGGCCCCAGCCTGGCCCGGTTGATTCCACACATCCTTGCCTTAAGCCCATGTGGGCTGATTCTACTCACCAATCAGAGGCTTGCTCTAATGGAAGGTGTGAATTTGCTGTCAGCAGTGGGTGTGTTGGCCCTGGTTGGCCTGAAGCAGACCCCCTCGAGAAGAGGGCTGAGAATGGGCCTTGGTTGGCCCGGAAAAATACCAGGCCACTCAGATATGTAAACAACCTATGCTACCCGGCCCGGGCCGACCCGGTACAGATGGGAATGGCCCATTAGTTCACGCCATACCTCTAAAACCAACTGGCAGACATTTAAAAAAATAAGGACCACAAAAATGTCTTAACTGTTGGGTAAAACCTCACGATGGTCTTCAGCATAGAGTAAGTCCAAGAACACACACACACGCAGAAGCTTCTGTACAGAAAATGAAGTAAGATATGAAAATATGTAATTAAGAACCAGACCTCTGATTCACAACATCTAACCTGTGTAAGTAACGTTAGAAAACACTTACAGGGGGCCAGACATTCCAACCACCCAGTTTTCTCCTATGACGGGTCGGCAACCTTTCCCCATCAAACCCATTTCCCACGGTAAAGAAAACACTGGGAGCTGCAGCGTTGTGGGCGGGGCCTACCCTCTGACAGCAGAGAGCTGCTTTAACCGATCACAACAGGTGACAGCAACCAATACCAGTCGCTCACGTTCCTCAAAGTTATCTTTCAACAGAAGATAATTAATAAAACAGTTTGTTAAAAATTGATCCAAAAGTTGAAGCCCGTCTGTGCTACAATATTTCGATTTTTTTCACCCTGCTAGTGGTTTTAATGGTTGAGCAGGTGACGCTTTTTGAGGCGTCACACACAACTGTTCAGAATACAAATCCAGGCTCTGTCTCGTTGGACTGTTGTAATTCAACTTTGTACTGAACTAAACTTTGCATTAAACATTGTTGAAAAGGTAAGAAGAGGCAATTAGTTATTTTTCCTCATTTACACCGACGGAGATAACGGCGCAGCGTGCGTGGCTCGGGTGTTCATCAGGTTTAATGTTTCTGTTTGCAACAGTCTTCACTAGAAGGTAAAACGGTTAAATGGCGGGGTTCGCGCTGACCCGATGTTTCCCGTATTTATTTTGAAGGAGAAATCTCAAGCCTGCAGATGCACTGGCATTTTAACGCACATCGTGGAGGTAGCTACATCAATCAGGAAAAGATTCCCATCAGAACATCTGAGATGGACACTGAGCTCAGCGCAGCTCACTGTCAGCGCACGCGTAAGGTGGACAGCGAGCTGAGGACAGATCGGGGCCTTGGAGCGCGTCGCAGAACCAGAACCATGCAGGAAGAGTGTGTGTTTTCTAAACCCGGTCTCTCAGAGACTTGCTACTTAAAAAATGTTCCCTGATTATGAATCTTTGGCTGAATAGCGCTTGTTCCTGTCTCCAACACTGCGACGCATCCATGAGCCTGTCTGAGGAACAGTCCAGCATCTCCTCTTCAGCTCAGAAAGCTCCTATAGAGACATTTGATTACGCACAAGCAGGTGACCTGTTCACGTTTACGCAGACAATCTTTAAATCTAGAATTGGCTACGGATGAAAACATGAATAAAATACATTGTAATTAAATATTCCTTAATTAGTTTACAAGCAGAGAGCCGCATCAGATGGATGAAAGAGCCGCGGGTTGCCGACCCCTGTCCTATGACACGATTAAAGTCCATGTGGATGGTCTTGTCCTGCTGCAGGTCTTCTCTACCAAACAGCCTGGAGATCCGAGATGCAGATAATGAGGAGGAGGGTGTGTTTGTGCTCCAGCGGCTCGTCAAAAGAACCCGATTTGGGCCCTTTGAGGCCAAAAGGGTTCCCCACCTGGAGGCAGATGGAGCATTTCCCCTGAAGGTCCAGCCTCTCTCTGTGTGCTCGGCTTCTCTTTCGAAGGATGTTTTCCTGAAGTTCTCTTCATCTCCAACGAGTAGATCTTCCAGAGGAATGGGGCGGTGGTGTGTTTTGACTGCAGCAGTGAGGACGACTGTAATTGGATGATGATGGTGCGACCCGCCACTGATCACACACACCAGAATCTCACAGCGTACCAACAGGATGATGACGTTTACTTCAACACCTCACAGGTAGGATCACTGAACAAGATTCACCAGAAATCAGATGAGTTGGACTTGGCCTCTTTAAACTTGAGGTGTTTTTCTGTGGACCTTGTGGTCTGTGAATGCATTGTTGCCTAGCAGCTAACTCGACTATGATTCTCAAATTAAACAAGAATAACCCTCCGCATGGAAAGAAATTGAGAAAAAAAACGTTTAAAATAGAAAATAAATTAAAATAAAAACTCAGGCGTTTGGAGGACTTCAGTGAAACCATGGAACAAGACCACCCGGCTCCTCAGAAGGCTCCTCTGGCACCGCGATCCGAACCCGGATGAGTGAACAATAACAGACGGGTGGATTGAAATAAAAATAAAAATGAAGAAATGAGGAATCGCAAAAAAGACAAAATTGACAGAAACAGCAGCCTGAAGGGAAGCTAGTGACGAAGAAGAGGATGAACATAAGGTCCCACCATAGCCTGAACAGGTGAGTTTAAAGGAGACCACTGAGTCCACTGATCTCAGGCTCAGGGGGAGAGAGTTCCAGAGTCTGGGGGCCACAGCAGCAGATGACCTGTCACCTTTGAACTTTAGCCTGCTGCTGCACAACCAGTAGGCTTTGGTCACTGGACCTCAGGGACCTGCTGGGGGTGTAGGGACTGAGAAGATCACCAATGTAAGATGGTGCCTGTCCAAGGAAAGCTTGAAGACCTTAGGAGAGAGTGTTTGTTGATTATCTTGTTATCTTGTTTGACAAACGCGGCAGAGTCTCCTGGGGTCTCATTTATCAAACATTGCGTAGACTCCTTACTAAAACGTACTTAAGCTCAGCAAAAATAAAGTACTTACACCAAGTAGGTTTGTGATCTATCAAACATGGAGTACGCACAGCTGCACGCAATCTCCGCTTCATAAATCGGAGACTAACGAGAATGTTTCTCAGCTGCATTTTAGTCTCATCCCGCCCTCACCACGCCCACTTACTGCCATAAATGGTCAATGCAAAGTGCCTTGTGGATCTCATGCATATACTGTACATAGGCCGGCTTGTTGCAGCATTTCGATCACGACGGCATTTCACAAGTAGAAAATGAGGTACTTGTGGGTGAGGTGGAGAAATGAAAGGAAGTGCTTTTGCTAAACAAATAAGAGAAAATCCAAGGAGTGGCATAGCGTTGCTGAAGCCGTCAATGCTGAGTTCTTCAGAGAGATCTGTGGCAAATATAAAAAATGATCCAATCAGGATTCGATCCCCAGACTCCCAGGTGAAAGTCAAGCATGCTAACCAGTCAGTCATTATCAAGCCATTATCAAGGGCAGTCCTCCACCATTCCCCCATCCACGTCAGGCACTCCACCGCCATCCACTAACAAAACCGCACCCTCCACATTCAAGAAAGCCAACACCAGATCCACACCAGAGAAGCCCAGAAGCTGGTCAGCAACAACCGAATCTTCACACGCCGCTTCCGACTTGTTAACCGCTACAAGGTTATCCACACCTTCATCTCCTCACGCTTAGACTACTGCAACTCTCTTTTCACGTGTCTGAGCAGAACCTCCCTGAACCGTCTACAGGTGGTTCAGAATGCCTCTGCTCGTCTTCTGACCAAGTCCTCCAAACACACCCACATCACCCCGCTTCTCCTCCAGCTTCACTGGCTGCCAGTCAACTTCAGGGTTTATTTCAAGATGGTCTATAAGGTCTTACATGGACAAGCACCACCATACATTGGTGATCTTCTCAGTCCCTACACCCCCAGCAGGCCCCTGAGGTCCAGTGACCAAAGCCTACTGGTTGTGCAGCAGCAGGCTAAAGTTCAAAGGTGACAGGTCATCTGCTGCTGTGGTCCCCAGACTCTGGAACTCTCCCCCGAGCCTGAGATCAGTGGACTCAGTGGTCTCCTTTAAAAAGCAGCTGAAGACTCACCTGCTGGCTTTTGCGTGACCTTCATCACACTCTCCTTATTCTGCTCTCCCCAGGATCCACTTTCCTATTCACACTCTCTCTTTCTTTGCATTTTTAATCACGATTGTCTATTTTTGCCTATTTTAAACATTTTTTAAAATCATTCTTTTAAATATTGTTATATTTTAAATTTTTTGTTTTTGTGAAGCGCCTTGTGATTTTTATCTTGAGAGACGCTTTAGAAAAGATCATTTCTTTCATTTCATTCTTACAGTCCTCATTCTCCATAAAGAATCCACAATAAAAGCCAAAAACTGTGTCCGATCCCCCACCACCAACCCTCCCCTGCCCAACAGACAGAAGCAAAGTATCCCCCGCCCATTGCCCACAAGCAAACAACCAGGCCCAAATCCCCCACCAGACCTCAGCTGTTTAGACGAACCCTCCACCACCAGCCCGTCCGGAGTCACTGTGATCCCGCTTCGAATTGCCCTTACCTTCCACGGGCTTAGCGATCCCGTCACCCTCACCGGCCTGCCTCTCCATTCTCGCACAGAGAGATTGAACAGGAACCGAGAAGGAAAATACGTCTTACCGGACCTTAACAGGCCATCGGCTGAACCCCCAAACCCCCTTCTCGGCCAATCAAAGCCGGTGAAACACAGATAAGCTAAGACCTCCTGTCTGGAAAGCCCGTCCATCCATCCCATACCACTAGAGGTCCCCACATAAACTGAAAGCTGTTGCTTTCTTTCTGCTGTTGACACACCCACACAGTGCTGACCTTCCCTTTTAAAGTCCCAGTGATACTAGTTGTTTGCGTGATGTTGTATTTAGCAGACGCTTTTGTCCAAAGCGACTTACAAGCGATAATTGGCATGTTGCCCTTAATGCTAACAACAACAACTTGACATCAATCATGGAGAGGAGGGAACAAGGAGTGGACAGTAGAGAGGGGGGACGGGTGCAGGGAGGGTGCTAGTTAAGAAGATGCTCTCTGAAGAGCAGGGTCTTCAGGAGTTTCTTGAAAATTGAAAAGGAGCCCCTGTTCTGGTAGTGTTTGGAAGGTCATTCCACATTTGTGGAATGATGCATGAGAAGAGTCTGGATTGTCCTGAGCGTGATGTAGGCACTGCTAGCCGACAATCCTGTGATGACCGGAGTGGCTGGGCCGAGATGTAAGCCTTTGCAAGAGGATTTAGGTAGATGGGAGCCGTACCGTCTCGGACTTTGTATGCTAGTGTTAGCAATTTGAATTTGATGCGTGCTGCTAGCGGTAGCCAGTGGAGCTCAATGAACAGAGGGGTGACGTGTGCTCTTTTTGGCTGATTGAAGACCAGACGCGCCAGGAGCTGGGCGGCATGTTGTGTTAGGTATGGTCTGATCTTTTGTATGTTATACAGCGCAAAGCGGCATGAACGAGCAACAGAGGCAACATGATCTTTAAAGGTCAGGTGTTCATCAATCACAACACCCAGATTTCGAACTGCCTTTGAAGGAGCCAGAGATAGGAAGTCATTTTGGATTGAGATATTGTGCTGTTTGGATGGTTTTGCTGGGATGACAAGTAGTTCAGTTTTAGAGAGGTTGAATTGGAAATGGTGGTATTGCATCCATTTTGATATGTCAGAGAGACAGTTTGATATTCATGCAGAGACAATGTGGTCGTCCAGTGGAAATGACAGATAGAGCTGGGTGTCGTCTGCATAGCAGTGGTAGGAGAAGCCATGTGATCGAATGATCTTACTCAGTGAGGTGGTGTATATGGCAAAGAGAAGAGGTCCTAGTACAGAGCCCTGGGTGACTCCTGTAGCAAGATGATGCACGGTAGAGGATTGTCCAAGCCAAGATACCCTGATTGATCATCCTGTGAGGAACAATTCAAACCAGGCGTGTGCTTTCTCTGTGATGCCCATGCTAGAGAGTGTGGACAAAAGGAAGCCATGGTTGACAGTGTCAAATGCAGCCGATAAGTCGAGGAGGATAAGCACTGAGGATTTGGCAGTCGCTCTAGCTTCTTTTAAGGATTCCGTCACTGCTAACAGAGCAGTTTCAGTGGAGTGGCCCTTTTTGAACCCAGATTGGTAAGGATCAAGCAGACAGTTTTGTGAGAGGTATTCTGTGATCTGCTTGAAAGCCGCCCTTTCAATGATTTTGGACAGAAAAGGGAGGAGAGAGATAGGTCGGTAGTTCTCCACATGATTTGGAGGAAGAGATGGGTTTTTTTTAGCAGCGGTTTAACCTGAGCATGCTTGAGAGAGGTTGGAAATGTACCAGATGTCAGTGATGCGTTGATCACGTGTGTGACTGCTGCGGCTACTGTAGGAGCAATAGCTTGGAGCAGCTTAGTCAGAATGGAGTCAAGTGGACGGGCGGCTGCACGTGAGAAGCTTGGACACACAGTTCTCAGTGAGAGAGGAAAAAGAGGAAAATGAAGCAGTAGGGCTTGAGATGGTTGGGTTAGAAGGAGTTTGTGATAGCGAATGTTCAGGAGTGGTCAGTTGAGTAAACTGTTTGCTTATAGCTGTCACTTTGTCAGTGAAGAATGAGGCAAAGGTGTCAGCTGATAGATTGTTGGTAGGAGGTGGAGATGGAGAGTTGAGCAGAGTTTTGAATGTTGAAAATAGTTTCTGAGAGTCAGTCGAGCTGAGAATTTTGTCAGTGTAGAAAGCTTTCTTTGCATCAGTGATGCTGGCAGAGAATGAGGGCAGTAATTCATGAAATTTCAATTGATGACCAGGATCTTTTCTTTTGCGCCATTTCCGTTCCGCAGCTCTAAGATTGGTGCGTAGAGACCGGAGGGTATCATTTAGCCAAGGATGCGACTGAGAGGATCTAGCAGGTCTAGTGGCTAAAGGGCACAAGTTCACTTCATAAGCAGAGAATGTGCTGAGGGATGGAAGAGTGGAGGCAACAAGAGAGGAGAAGTGGTTGGGTGCCAGATTGCGGCGGTTGCGGTGGAATGAGACCATTGGGGAGGAAGCAGTGGACCTCCCTTGTAAAGTCATGCTGAAACAGATGAAGTAATGATCAGAAAGATGCAGCGGTGTGACAGAGACAGTGTCTATGACACAGTTTCTGTGAAAACGAGGTCAAGTGCTTTTCCAGCTTTGTGAGTTGGAGGACTTTGTACTAGTTTTAGATCAAATGATGACTAGTGACAGAAAGCCTGATGAGCTGGAATTGTCCAGGTGAATATTCATGTCTCCAAGGACCATTGTGGGACAGTCGTGCTCAGGAATGGAGGAGAGCAGGGTGTCGAGTTCATCGAGAAAGTCTCCGAGTTGACCTGGTTGGCGATATATGACAACCAAAAATAATTTATTCGGTACAGTTACCTGGATGGCATGGTATTCAAAGGAGTTGTATTTAGTGATGGGTAGCAACTGACTGTATATCCATTTGTTGGGAATTAACATGCACGTTCCACCACCTCGGCCAGATGCACGAGAAGTGTGGGAGAAAGTGGGGTTAACTGAGAGAGCAGATGGGGGAGCATTGTCACATGGTTTGATCCAGGTCTCAGTGAGAGCCAGTGCATCAAGTGACAGGTGGTTTGCATATGCGGTAATGAAGTCAGCTTTGTTTACAGCTGATTGGCAGTTCCACAGTCCCATAGACAGGTGGGTGTCTTCGGGGGGGAGTTGGTTTTAGCGAGCGGAGGTTTGGAAGGTTGCGAAAGCGGTTTGCTGTGTGTGACCTTCCTCTGAAGCCAGTGATCACAGGTATAGGATAATGGCACATTTTGCAAGGTGTCGAGAGAGCAGCGCCTGGGTCGAGTTGGTTTGCTCTGTGTACACGCGCAGGTAGACACGTTTGTCTTTACCCCGGAGGGGCTGAGACACAAGGGCCGACGCTTCAGTTATGCCACTAAACTTATGCTGTGCTACTAGTTGGAAACAGGTGTTCATGCAGCAGCTGATTGCAATGGTTGAGACCTAGACCACCTGATGAGTGTTTTCAGGGAGGGGAGAAATGGCTCGTTCACAGCCCCTGATTGCACTTATTGTTTTCAGTTGGCCCAAACCGGAGCTACTAGACAACAGGATTACTCACAGATGAGTTGCCTTCTCTTTCCAAATGATGGTTCCTTCCTGGTGGTTCCTGTTCCTCACAAAATGACTTGACAATTCTACTGATTTTTATTCATTTTGGAGCTAGAACTGAGATCCTACTGGACGCGTGTGTCTGCTGTGTGTTTGCCAGGACGTGCTGCCAGGAACAGAGCTGAGGGTGTGGTACGGAGCTTTCTATGCTAAGAAGATGGAGAAACCGATGCTGAAGCCTCCGTTCCCTCCTCAAGGTACACAGACCGATAAATGAATGATGGATCTTATTCCGAGCTGCATGTTTTTTTTTTGTTCGTTTAACAGAAACATCCTTATCTACTACAGAAAGCCCAGAGAAACTTCAAGCCCACGATCCTGTTGTGACTGAAGACTCCACTGCAGGTAGAGTCATTCCGTCCCTCCAGAACATCCCAGAACTTACCCGTGGTAGTGGTGGTTCTCTCTGAATGTCTTTACTCCTCCTGACTACAGGTGTCCTGCTGAGTCAGGTAGCAGCTGGTAACATGCTGCTGCACCAGAAGGAGAGCATGCTTGATCCTGATGCTGGGGAGGAAACGGGGCCTCCTGCAACTCCGTTTGGTCACAGGAGAGGGAGGGGTCGAGGGAGGAGGGCCAGGGGCCGCAGGCGTGGAGCTGCTGCTGCTGCTGCTAAAGGCAAAGGTGAGTCAGAATTAGGGATGCACCAAAATGAAAATTCTCGGCCGAAACCGAAAACAGAAAATGAGGAAACCAAGGCCGAAGACCGAAACACAACCATGGCATTAGAAGGACTGTAAAATTAACCCAAACTCGCAATATTGTGTTTAACGAGCCACAGCTGCAAATGTAATCCCTCATGAAGTATTAGATTACTCCAGAAGATAGTGGAGATGTGTAACTTCAGTCTGAGCAACACTTTTGGGTGTTTCTGTTGACATCTTCAGAGTTTATAGAGTTTGAAAACTGCCCTTCATCTGGAGGCTCTCCGCCGAGGAGAGGAGGTGACAGAGGGTGATCATTAATTATATATTAGAGACGCTGCTGACAGGTCTGTGTATTGTTGTCTGGTGATGTCTGACTCTGACCGTGAAGAGGAATATTCACCCCCTGATGAAGAACGTGACGCTGCAGCAGCAACAGTCTGTGTGCTCCTTGAGTAAACACGCTTCACACACATGATGCAGAGCTTATTTGACAGTGTTCAGGACATGGTGGGTGTAGAAAGGATGGTTAAAAACACCGCTAATAGTGACAGATGTAGTGGGAATGTAGAAGAAGACAAAAAGAAAAAAAAACGCCGAGCAGACGTGTTAAAGATGAAACCAAAGCGTGTCACATCATTGATTTGAATGTTCCAGCATTACTGAAAGTGAAAAACTTTACTTTTGAAATCAGCGCGAATGTATGATTTTTATGAAGCAGAGAGCAAGTTCCCACACGGGGGATGAAACAACGCGGGGTTGACCCGACCGCCTATTTCAGCTGTGGTTTTTCTGTGATTTTGGTTTTTCCGCCGAAAAACCAAAAATGCACTTTTGGATCATTTTTGGTGCATCCCTCGTCAGAATGCACACAGACGCATATCTACAGGTGTTTTTTTTTGCAGGAATGCTGTTATGGATCTGTGTCTTTAACTCTGGGGTCCTGTTGTGTGCAGAGGTGAAGAGCCCGGTCGAAGGCTCAGAGCTGCAGGTGCCAGACGTGGCGGCGGCAGCAGCAGAGAGCAGCAGCAACCCGCAGTGTTCTGCAGATGGCTCGCTTGTTCTAAAGAGACACAAAAGCAGAGAGCACAGGAGGGTTTACCGCTGCTCCCTCTGCAACAAGATCTTCCAGAACAGCAGCAACCTGAACAGACACATCCGCTCTCATGGTACGTTCACAGGTGAAACATTGAGTCTCGAGTAAAGTCTGAAACCTAGTTTATGCTTCTGCATCTGCAAGGGCTCCCCGGCAGGCTCGCAAGGACGAACGGAGTCGAGCCCACTTTTCTAAACACCCGTCCAACGAGACGGAGAACAGAAGTTAGTGATTGGTCAGGATGTCGCGTTCATCAACGTTACCCCTCAGACATAAAGAAACCTGAAGATATCTAGCGGCAGACACGGAGCAGCTTGAAGAATATCTCACATAAAAACTCTTAAAATACGAACGTTTTATTCACCCGTGACTGGAGGAGTGAAAAGATACGCAGCAAGCGTTTTATTCCTGGACGGAAGTGACGGCAAACGTGGGTTTAGAGGCGGCGAGTGCATGAAGAGGTGGAGGAGGACAAGGGACAAAATTATCCTTGTTAAAAAGTCTCTTAAATACAAAACACAATATAAACAAGTTAGTAAATGCATTATCTTGGACCGGATGCGTGACAGGATACCACAGAACAGCGCTGCGCCCTCTGGTGTCCTGGTGGGGAATTGCTTTGCAATGCTCCTCAGGAGACGGAGAAGTCTGAAGACAAAAACGTCTCCGTCCGTCCGTGCGCGTCTCCCTGGTGGAGCTGAGGGAGGAGCATCAACTAGGCTTACGGTGGGTGTTACATCTGAGAATGTATCCTTACAGGTGACAAGCTGTTCAAGTGTGATGAATGCGATAAATTATTCAGCCGAAAGGAGAGTCTGAAGCAGCACATCTCTTACAAACACAGTAAGACCATGGTAGGTGATGTTCCAGGGTGCAGCCTCCAGCTGCCCACACTTCCTGCATGCTAATGTCTTCCTTTGTACTTCCAACAGGAGGACCAGGACTACAAATACAAATGCAACACATGTGAGAAGTCTTTTCGTCTGGAAAATGCTCTGAAGTTCCACAACTGCCGCACCGGTGGGCAGAAACCCTCGAGTCCTGCAGGGTGTTATTTAGGCTTTTGGATCACCTCTGATCCTGCTTGACTGCTTTGTTTTTGCCCGTCTCCAGATGATAAGACGTTCCAGTGTGACATCTGCTCACGGTTCTTCTCCACCAACAGCAACCTCTCCAAGCACAAAAAGAAGCATGGTGAGAAGCTGTATTCCTGTGAGATCTGCAACAAGATGTTCTACCGCAAAGACGTGATGCAGGAGCATCACAGGAGGCACAGTGTGGGTGAGTCCTGCAGGGAGTTGTTGAAGTTCCCTCTGCTTTCAGACCGCTGGGAGCAGGAGGTTCCTGAGAGGGTTACGACTGCATCAGTTCCTCCTTTATAAATCACACCTGTCCCAGAAGTGAGCTCAGGTGTTTCTGGATCACATCCCACCTCCTTCACACCCCACTCTCTGCCATAAATAGGCAATGCAAACTATGTTATGAATGTTGTGTGTGTGCGTGTGTTTGCGCGTGTGTGTGTGTGTGTGCGCGCGCGTTTGCATGTGTGTGTGTGTGTGTGTGTGTGTGTGTGTGTGTATGTGTGTGTCTAAAGTTTGCTTGAAGTTGCCACATTTTCCCATCAGGTTTGTGTTGAAAATGACTTCCAACACTTTTCAGACCCCGTTTTTATTTCACAAGCAGCTTTAGAAATGAGGCCCCTGGCCCTCGGCTATCCAACGTTCTTAGAAACCGTCCTGTGTACCTTCCTACGAATGAAATTTAGAATGTTTGTTAGGATGACCAAAATCCCGGTTAATGAAACGAGTAGTGGCCTCTCGTTCACACGTTCCTCTGCAATCAGCTGATGATAAGTCCCACCTGGTGCTCGTGTCCGTTCTCAGTCATTTACATACAGAAACCTCCTCAGTTAACCATATTTGGTTACGCTACGTCCTCAGCTCATGAGAGGAAAGCTATTTTCCTGAAATAAAAACTTTACTGAGAGTGAGATCGAGACACTGGCTGTCGAAGTAGAAGAGAACCAGATATGTTGCAGAGGCTGCAGTTTTATTATTGTTAACACGATCATGACAGAGGAGAGATCCCTGTCAGAAATAAAGAAACAATGGTTCAACATAAAATGGAATCTGCATAGTACAGTTGATAAATGAGGGCCCTGAAAAGCATGAGGAGATGAAGGTGTGGATAACTGTCTCAAGTTCAGAGCGGGACAGAATGGGACTCAGCTTAGCAACGTTCCTGAGATGGAAGAAGGAAGAGCGAACAAGAGAAATGACATGAGAATCCAGGGTGAGAGCTGGGTCAAAGGTCACGCCAAGGTTCCTGAGTGTCTGAGCATAAGGCTTTAACAGTTCAGTAATATAAGGAGGAGCTGGACCATGAAAAGCCCTGAAAGTTCTAGTCAGGACTCTAAAATGAACTCTAAAGTTAACGGGTAACCAGTGCAGAGACGTCAGAATAGGAGTGATGTGTGCTCTTCTGTTTGCTCCAGTTAGGAGCCTCGCTGCAGAGCTCTGGACCAACTGAAGGCGGTCAAGGGCTTTTTTGTTAAAACATGTGAAAAGTGTGTTACAGCGATCTAGACGGGAGGAGACAAAGGCATGGAGAACCATTTCAAGTTCATGTTTTGACACCAACCTTCGCAGTTTGGAGATATTTCTTAAATGATAAAAACAGTTTCAGTCCAACGTTTTTGAGTGGCCTTCAAGAGACACTGATTGATCAAAAACACCCAAATTCCTTAAATTTGTCTTGACAGAAGAGGATAAATGACCAAGTTTTAGATTTATCATATATATATATATAGTTACATGTGCACTCATTGATAAGTCAACGTCCAGTTTAACCCCAAGGCTGGTCACACATGAATTAAGGTTTAGGGGGGAGAGATCAAAGGCAGCAGAAGTATGCAGATGATGTTTTGGTTTGAATAGAATGGCCTCAGTCTTTTTGTCATTAAACTTCAGGAAATTGGAAGCTAGCCAGGTTTTAATTTCAGAGCCTGGATGCTGGATGGAGAGTGATGCTCAACTTGCTGCTTCAGAATTCCTCACAAGTGTTCAATTGGGTAAAGATCAGGAAACAGACTTGATTATTCAATTACCTTCATCCTGTTTTTCTTCAGAAATGCAACAGGAGCTTTAGATCTGTGTTTTGGATCTTTGTTGAAAAAGTGCACGATGACCAAGTGCACGGAGTGATGGCCACATCAACAGATCTGGACATCCCTTGTTAGAATGAAATTAAAGCCAGTGTATGGTGTCAGATGTTTCATGTTACCCCTTTGAGTTTCTCGTCTTTGCCCCTGAACTCATGGTTTCTGCATGTCCGCAGGAGCTAAACAGTTGAAAAAAGAGGAGCTGGAGGCTAATGGAGAAGAAGGGAGCAAGTATAGGAAGGAGCCATCCCCATGTCCCATCTGCACCAAGGTTAGTGCCTGGGAGTGGTGGGTCACAGACCTCCTTGTACAGCATGGCGTTGATGGGATGTTCCTCTGGCTGCAGGTATTCTCTTGCAGGAGTAACATGAACAAGCACTTGTTGACTCACGGTGATAAAAAATACACCTGTGAGATCTGCGGCCGGAAGTTCTTCCGTGTGGATGTCCTCCGAGACCACATTCATGTGCACTTCAAGGTGAGGAAGGACACATGATGTTAGCATAGATGTAGCTGTCTTTATATTTAACGTCCTTTGCATGTTTCAGGATATTGCTCTGATGGATGAACAGGAGAGGCAGGATTTTATCCGGAAGATTGGGATCTCCGCCGACGATAGTGACGTTACAGATGATGATGAAGAATCGGAAGATCCTGAACAGCACAAGTACAACTGCAAGAAATGTCAAGTAAGCCCGGCTGGATGGCTGCAGTTACATGGTGGTCTAGGACTGAAGCCAGTAGGTCAAGATTTTTATCTTGAGAGGCGCTATAGAAAAATTTGTCGCTGTCGCTTTTATTACCTGACACACGGGAGGCGACCCGCTTCAGCGGCCAGTGGCAAAGCCGTGGACACGTCCTGTTCCATGGCAAAATCGAATCTTCCGTTGTTTTGTTTGGCTGTGTCACGTTGGAGGGAATTAAGGTTATTTAAGTGGTTCAGAGTTTAAAAACAGTGGTAGATATAAGGTTTCACAAGGTGCTGCTAGAGTTATGTGAAATCTTACTTCTGATTTTACTATATAAAACATAATAATAATCAACTTCTCCTTCATGTTTGCTCGGAGATGTGCGGAGCATCCTGTCCGCTCATTGGTCAGTGAATGAAACCTCCGTTGATTGGTCCTCGTCCGAGCGACAGCGATGAAAAGTTGAAAATATTTCAACTTCCTGGGATCGTGTCGCCGGGTCGCTTGTTCACGACACGTGCACGAGCACAAAATTTCACACGCACGTTTTTCACGTTTCACTTAGTAGGAGGGAGACCCGCGATTATCGCTTTGTCGTGCATGTGTCATTGAAAATGAATGGAGGAGAGGCGATGTCGCCTCCCGTGTGTCGAGCCCATTAGCCTCCTCCCTTTCCGGTCGGCTCATGGGTTCCCGGAAGAACGACAAAATGAAGGCAAGTCTTCGGGGCTAAAAGAGTTATTTTCTAATTCGCTTTGCCTTATGCCCTGGATCGCACTTATGTTGTACTTCTGTTTAAGTGAAAAGTAATGACGTTTATTTTGACCACGCCAGTCATGTACTTTGAGATTCATCAGATTGTAAAAGTTCGTAATTAGCATGACTACGATCAGACATCGACACGTTGCGTATATGATGTCACCACATTATCTCCTCTACTCTAGCGTAGCTGCTACTTACTAAATGTCCAGATTTATGGTGATTCTGTCCTCCTGAATGCAGGATTTGAAGTTCGCTGCACTTACAGCCATTTTTCCTCCGTTTTTCTCTGTGTATGGTTTGATGACGCCACTTCGATGATGCGTTTGTAGTCCTGGATATTTTCGCACAAAACCTAAAATAGCGTTTCCCTCCAGTTGAAAATAAGCTTTCTTGGTATCAAAATGCAACTTTAAAATTCACGGACATCATATGTGAAATCCATGGCACATAACAAATGGAATTATAAAACGGCGTTTTTAGCCCTATTGACTTGCATTCGTTTTTTCATCCTTCCGGGGACCCGTAGTGCGGAAGTAGATGGGCGTGACTTAGGCTCCCTACAGTGTATCATTTATCCATTCACACGCTGATGTTGATGAGCTACAATGTAGCCACAGCTGCCCTGGGACACACTGACCGGGGCAAATCTGCTTTACGCAGGCACCACTGGTCCCTCCAGCCACCACCAGCAGGCAAAGTGGGTTAAGTGTCTTGCCCAAGCATACAACGACAGCGACAGACTGAGCAGGGCTCGAATCTGCAACCCTCTGATTTCGTGGCGGGCACTTAACTCCCGTGCCACTGTCACCATCTAGATCAGGGGTGTCAAACATGCGGCCCGCGGGCCGGATGCGGCCCGCAAGCGGGTTAAATCCGGCCCGCGAGATGGTTGTGAAAACTTTATTTTCATACTTTACAATGTAGAGTGAAAATACACTTATCATTGTGAGCAAGTTTTCTCTGTAACGAGTATAAATAAAACAAAGCTGCGCTCAAGGCTCCCACAAGAACTTGAATCCCATCCTGAAGTTGGCCGCCACTCAGGATGTGAATTCTGTTATTGATATGCTGGTGAAAGCTAAAAGATTTAAAGTAAAATGAGTCAAATATACTTTAAGTGCTGCATGGAACTGATCTTGCCATGTGATCTGTAAGCTCTTTGAATCACTAAGGAATTTTTATTTATTTATTGATTTTTCATTTTTTTTAATTTTCAATTACACTTCAGGTGTTGTACTTGTACTACACTGTCCACAGGCTCCAGCCTTGTTTTATATTGATTGTATTAAAACAAAGAAAACAATCTGAAGTTTTTTTTTATTCACCGGTCCGGCCCACTTGGGACTAGATTTCCCTCAATGTGGCCCCTGAGCTAAAATGAGTTCGACACCCCTGATCTAGATGATGTGGTCCTGTTGGCTTCATCAGAACGTGATCTCCGGCTTTCGCTGGAGCGGTTCACAGCCGAGTGTGAAGCAGCTGAGAATCAGCTCTTCTAAATCAGAAAACATGGTTTAAGTCAGAAGAGGGTAGAATGCCTTCTCCGGGTCAGGGATGAGGTCCTGCTCCAAGTGGAGGAGTTTAAGTATCTTGGGGTCTTGTTCATGAGTGAGGGAAAGGTGGAGCCTAAGATTGATAGGCGGATTGGTGCTGCATCTGCAGTGATGGGGGCGTTGTACCGGTCTGCCGTGGTGAAGAGAGCTGAGTCAGAAGGCAAAGCTCCTTATTAACCAGTCAATCTACTTTCCTACCCTCACCTATGGTCATGGGCTTTGGGTGATGATGGAAAAAACGAGATCGCAGATACAAGCGGCTGGAATTAATTTTCTCCGCAAGCAGGCTGGGCTCTCCCTTAGAGATAGGGTGAGAAGCTTGGTCATCCAGGAGGGGCTCAGAGCAGATCTGCTGCTCCTCCACATTGAGAGGAGCCAGTTGAGGTGGCTCGGGCATCTGATTAGGATGTCTCCTGAATGTCTCCCTGGTGAGGTGTTCTGGACGTCCAACCGGGAGGAGACCTAAATGGAGACCCAGGACACAATTAAATTAAATTCAATTCAAAAATACTTTATTAATCCCAGAGGGAAATTGATTACTGTAGTAGCTCAGAATAATAATAATCGTCGTCGTCTTCCTCCGCTTATCCGGGTCCAGGTCGCGGGGGCAGCATCCCAACTAGGGAGCTCCAGGCCGTCCTCTCCCCGGCCTTGTCCACCAGGTCCTCCGGCAGGACCCCAAGGCGTTCCCGGACCAGATTGGAGATGTAACCTCTCCAACGTGTCCTGGGTCGACCCGGGGGCCTTCTGCCGGCAGGACATGCCCGAAACACCTCCCCGGGGAGGCGTCCAGGAGGCATCCTGACCAGATGCCCAAACCACCTCAACTGGCTCCTTTCGATCATCAAAGGGTTATAGGATCATCAAAGTCATCAAAGGGTTATTGTATATTACAATGGCTGTTGGCAGGAAGGATCTCCAGTAGCGGTCAGTGTTGCAGTGAAACTGAAGAAGCCTCTGACTGAAGACACACTTCCGTTGTCGGACAGTCTAGTGAAGAGAATGCTCAGGGTTGTCCATAATTTTCTTGATTCTCTGGAGAATCCTTCTTTGCATTATCTCCTCCAGTGGTTCCACAGTCATCCCCAGAACAGAACCAGCCTTTTTTATTAGGCTGTTGAGCCTTTTCAGGTCCCTGCTTCTGATGCTACTACCCCAACAGACGATGTCTGAAGAGATTACACTCTCAACAACAGACTTCTAGAAGATCTGCAGCATCTTGCTACAGACATTGAAGGACCTAAGCATCATCAAGAAGTGCAGTCTGCTGTGTCCCTTCTTGTAAACGGCTTCGCTGTTCTTTCTCCAGTCCATTCTGTTGTCCAGGTGAACTCCAAGGTATTTGTATTCCTCAACCACCTCCACTTCTTCTCCCATGATGGAAACTGTGTTTGACTCCACCCTGTTTCTTCTGAAGTCTAAAATCATCTCCTTTGTTTTGTTCACGTTCAAGGTCAGATGATTGTTTCCACACCATGCCACAAAGCGCTCCACCAGCTCTCTGTACTCAGCTTCCTGTCCATCTCTGATACACCCGACAACTGCAGAGCCATCTTAGTATTTCTGTAGATGACAGGTCTCTGATTTGTACTGGAAGTCTGAGGTGTACAGGGTGAAAAGGAATGGTGAGAGTACAGTCCCCTGTGGTGCTCCAATGTTACTGATCGCCTGGTTTGATGTGCAGTTCTTCAGCCTCACAAACTGTGGTCTGTTTGTCAGTTAGTCTTTAATCCAGGTGATAGTTGAGGCCTCCACCTGTGTCTTCTGGAGTTTCTGGCAAAGTACATCAGGCTGAATTGTGTTAAATGCACTGGAGAAATCAAAGAACATGACCCTGACAGTGCTGCCTGCTTTGTCCAGATGACAGTGGGTTGGTTGAAGCAGCTGGATGATGGCACCTTCAACTCCAACTCCATGGCGATAAGCAAACTGCAGCGGGTCCTGATATGTTCTAGTTTGCTTATTCAGGACCTTCATGATGTGGGATGTCAGGGCAACCGGTCTGTAGTCGTCATTGACTGATGGGCGAGTTTTCTTTGGAACTGGAATAAGGCAGGATGTCTTCCACAGGACTGGAACCTTCTCCTGTGCCAGGCTGAGGTTGAAGAGGTGCTGCAAAATCCCACAGAGCTGCTCTGCACAGGCCTTCAGTACTCTGGGGCTGACACCATCTGGACCTGCAGCCTTGTTCCTGTTCAGTGTCTCCAGCTGCCTCTTCACCTGACTTCTAGAGACAGATAGGCGGGAGGGGGAGGTAAATGGGTCAGCATCTCTTGACTTGGGTTGAAGACAGATTTATAGAACCAGAAGAGTCCATGACTGCATTAGAGGACAAAAGAGCTGGCATGTCACAGCAAAATGTTGGATCAGAGGAGGATGAGATGTCTGATTGGCTGGGGACAGGCGAGGAGGATGCTGGGTTTGTTCCTGAACTGAACCTATTGAAGAACTTGTTCAGTTCATTGGCTGTGTCCAGGCTGCCATCTGTACAATCCTTCCTCTGCTTGAAGCCTGTGATCTTCTTCATCCCTGACCAGACATCCCTGATATTGTTCCTCTGTAGTTTGTTCTCCTGCTTCTTCCTGTATGCCTCCTTGCTGTCTCTGATCTTGATCTTCAGTTGCTTCTGTATACTCCTCAATAATTCCCTGTCTCCCTCCTTGAAGGCTCTTTTTTTCTCATTTAGCAGATTCTTCAGTTCACTGGGGATCCAGAGTTTGTTATTAGTGAAGCATCTCACTGTTCTGGTGGGTATGATGTTCTCCACACAGAAGTTTATATAGTCAGTGACACATCCAGTCATGGCATTGATGCCCTCTTCATATCCTTGACAGAGAGTCATCCAATCTGCGGTCTCAAAACAACCCTGCAGGGCTTCTTCAGCGTCCTGTGACCATTTTCTCACAGTTCTTCCTGTCACAGGTTGCCTCTGAACAATTGGTTTATATTCCGAGCAGAGAAAAACAAGATTGTGATCTGATTGTCCAAGAGGAGGTCTTGTTTTGGTCATGTATGCATTCTTTACATTTGTATAACACAAATCCAATGTCTTGTTTTCTCTGGTGGAGCAGCTGACAAACTGCTGAAATGTTGGAAGTGTTGGAGAGAGCGAGGCATGATCAAAATCACCAGATATAGCCACAAATGCATTGGGGTCCTGGGTTTGTAGCTTAGTGACAACGGAACTGATGGCATCACATGCACTTTCAGCAATGGTTGAAGGTGGAATATAAACGGTTGCCAAGACAACTCTGGTGAACTCTCTTGGCAAATAATATGGGCGACAACTTACTGCCAAGTGTTCAGCATCTGGGCTGCAGAGACGACATTTCACTGAAACATGATGGCACCATCTGTTATTGACAAGCACTGCCACTCCACCTCCTTTTCTTTTCCCGCTTCTCTTCAGATCTCTGTCTGCTCGTACAGTCAGGAGTCCTGGCAGAGAGACACTGGAATCGGGGGATATGGTCCTGCAGCCACGTCTCAGTGAAACACATAACACTGCACTGCCAGTACTCTGGCTGTGCCCTTGAAAGGGCTTGGAGTTCAACCATCTTGTTAGCCAGTGATCTCACATTGCCCATTATGATCGATGGAAGAGATGCTTTGAATTTCCTCTTTCTCTGTCTCCTTTTTGCTCCCGTTCTGCACCCACGTTTCTTGCGTTTTAGCTCATTTGGGATCTGTGGCTTCAATTGAGGTATTATTTCAGCCTTTCCAATGTTAATCAGCTGCTCCCGATTGTAAAACAGCTTGTTGCCGTGGTTACGTATCATAACAAATGCTCAGAAAGTGAAAAAATTGTAGTAAAAATCCTCTAAGCTTCACAGCACCAGAAACAGAAAAGTAAAATGTCCAAAAAAATACTTTTTTGCTTGAGAAACTATAAGAAAAATGTAAAAAAAAATAAAAATAAAAATAAAATATTAAACTTACATATAGTCAACAGAGCTACTCCAACATGCAGCCACCCAGAGCAGTGCAGTTCCGGAAACACGCTGGAGGGACTAGGGGTGTTTCTCAATGTCAAGGCGCCTGGCCTTGCGAGCCGATGTTTTGCGAGACCAGGTGCCTTGCTTACGAGGACACTGTCCTTTCTTGGTCAAAGAAAATGGTTAAATGGAGCAGACTTGCAACACGTGACCGCGGCTTCCACGGCGGTCATGTAACGTCACGTGACACGGGAGATAACGTTATATTTTATATGTATTAGTTTCAATATCAGTATATAATGAGCCTTTTACTTTTTAAATTGTGTGTTTGTTAAATTAAATATATAAGTGAGTTACTACCTGTTAGCCACCGAAGCTGCACCTAATAAGCAAACTAACCAACCATAGATAACTTCTTTGGATCTAAAAAAACATTTTAAATTAGTTGCTTACATTTAAACTTGAAATTTGCCCCTGAAGCAGCTCCCGGCTTCTGATCCGCCATTCTTTTGAAAATACTGCAGTGTGTTCTGGTTAATTTTTGACCAAGGCTAGGCTACAAGACACCTCCTGTGTATCCTTGCTCAGCTAGCTAAACGGCTAACAAACGGAGAACAAACACCTCGGTAGAACATGGGAACACGTTTTGGCGGCTTCTGATGACGTATCTCCTAGGCAACCGGAGCGGGACCAAGACATCAAGGCGAGGTTCCTTGGCATTGAGAAATACCCTATGTATCTTACCTGGCCAGGGAAAACCTTGAGGTTTCCCTGGAAGAGCTGGCCCAAGTGGCTGGGGAGAGGGAGGTCTGGGCCTCTTGACTTAGGCTTTTGCCCCCATGAACCGACTCCGGATAAGCGGAAGAGAATGGATGGATGGATTACAAAACTTTCACCATTCATCATTGTTGATATTTTACACTTACCTTTTCACTCATTGCCAGTGGTGAAAGGGAGTCTGATGTGCTGAAGGTTGAACAATCTGACGAAGTATTCGTTAAAAAATTGCACTCTCAGGAATTTTTTACCCTAATGGCCATCTGTTGGTAAGGTTTTGCTCATACACAAAAATACCACTTGCTTACACTGATTTAGGTATGTACTGCCCCCATCGCCAGGAAAAATACACACTGTTACTTTAAAGTCCGTCGGGTCATTTTGGTTTCAGTTTTTGGATCAATCAATAAAGGTTTATTTGTATAGCACTTAAAATGCTGTTAAACTATGTTGTCCAAAGTGCTTAACATAAAAAATAAATAAATAAAAGCAAACAAAAAAACAGTCAATAAAAAGACAAAATAAGCACAAAAATAAAAATCTGAAACCAAGAGTCATACAAAACAAGGCCACCCTGTCAGCCCAAGATATTAAAAGATTTGGAGTAAAAATAAGTCTTCGGTAACTTTTTACAGATAGCAACAGATGATGCCTGCCTAATGGTGACTGGTAACATGTTCCAAAGAGTAGGTGCTGCCTGTGAGAAGGTAGTGTAGCCAGAAGGTCTTCAAGTTGAAAGAACTGGAGGCAAACTGCAGAACAGTGAGGTTTTTTCCTTGGGAGCCAATATGCTACCCATGCTTTTATTTCATTGTTTTTTTTTTTCAACTCAGAAAAAGGATTCCCAAGCCTCCACATGGCTTCTTTAAAATAAAAGCACCAATCAACCGTGCTCCAACAATCAAACCCAAAAGAAGAAGAAAATATAATTTCTATAGCGCCTCTGACGATAAAAATCTCGAGGTGCTTCACAAAAACAAAAAATGTAAAAATATAAAAAAGAATTTAGAAAATGGTCAAAAATATATTTAAAATTAGCAAAAAATAGACAATTGTGATTAAAAAATGTTAAGAAAGAGAGAGAGTGAATAGGAAAGAGGGAAATCAGTGGATCCTGAGGAAGGTGGAATAGGTGGGGAGAGCAGAATAAAGAGAGAGTGGTGAAGAAGGTCATACAAAAGCCACTTTGAACAAGTGAGTTTTCAGCTACTTTTTTGTGTGTATGTGTGTACTTTGTGTTTTTATATGCTTAAGCGGACACATTTTAACTTTTAAACTGTAGTGTGTGGACATTTCCACATTGTGGGGACATTTGGCTGGTCTACACAATGACAAAATATCCTTAGACTTGGTTTTAGAGGTTTGGTGTGAATTAGATCAGGGTTAGGAAAAGAAACATATTGGTTATGGTTAAGGGTAGGGTATGGGTTAGGCATAGTGGAGTCACTAAAATGAATGGATGTCAGTGGAGGTCCATGCATGCAAATAATAGTGTGTGTGTGTGTGTGTGTGTGTGTGTGTGTGTGTGTGTGTGTGTGTGTGTGTGTGTGTGTGTGTGTGTGTGTGTGTGTGTGTGTGTGTGTGTCTCAAAATCTGTAAATGTTTCCTAAATTAGACATGCCACCATTTCACTGAATGAGCCTGCAGGTTTGCCATCTCCAAAATGTTCTTACAGCAGCTCCAAAGTTTCCTATTTCTGTTTTTCTATCAGGCTTTTGTTTAAAAATTACAAAATATGCCTGGAAGGTCACTTATGCGGTTTTCAGACTCCGTTTTGTGTGTAAGCAGCTTCATAACTGAGGCACCAGTTGCAAGACGAGCCCTGTTTCAGGATCGTAGTGATCATGATTGTGTGAAACATTACACGAGTCTCCTGCTTCTACGTTCCAGCTGTCGTTTGCCAAGGGTAAAGAGTACCTGAAGCACATCACAGAGCAGCACAAGGAGAAGGGCCACAGCTGTGGCATTTGTAACCGACACTTTGCACTGAAGGCCACCTATAGTGCTCACCTGGTCATCCACAGAGAGCAGCTGCCTGACCCCGCCGTGCAGAAGTAAGATGACTGGACAATCAGCTGTTTGCGGCATTCATTCATTCATTGGTTTATGAAGTGTAACGGTTGCAGAGCAGACTCGGGTACAGTCAGCCATTTACCGAATCTCCTCTGTCCTAAAGGTACATCCATCCCTGTGAAGTCTGTGGCCGAATCTTCAACAGCATTGGGAACTTGGAAAGGCACAAGATAATCCACACAGGTGAGTGAGGCCCTGGAAGCTGTGTGGAAGGTTCCTCTCGGCTCTCCGAGCTCGGAGTTAAAGAAACTCCACTGAAAATGTCTCAACATCCAACATGGCAGCCCTGGACCCAACTGTGAGCAAACTTTATGCTCGTTTCCAAGCTTCCCTTTGTCTACAACTTAGAGGCACACTTGGCAGTTTTGGCTTGCCTTTAGCACCCCCTAGAGTGCATTTAGTTGAACCAAAAGTGAAACTGGCTACCCCTCTGTTTTAAACTTCTAGTTTTTAAATTGTCACAAGGTCTCGCTCCATCCTACTTCTCAGGGCTACTGCAGGTACACTCCTCTACTCACTCACTCACTTACTTAGGTCATGTGACCAGCTGGTCCTGGATGCACCGATTACTCTGCGTAAGCTCAGAGGGGATGGGGCCCTCTCTGCTGGGGCCTCCTCATAAGAAACATTTATATCATTAGTAAAGACCCAAGGTTTTACTTTGGCTTTGACTCAGCATTAGTTTTCGGTTTGATTTTTGTCATCTTTTCATGTTGTTTTTACTTTATTAATGCTTTTATTGGTTTATCCCGTTAAACATTTTCATGTCCCAGTGTTCAGCACTTTTAGTGTTTGTTGCTTTTTAAATAAAGTTGGCTTGGCTTGGATGAGAGATGGGGTGAGCTGTGTGACAAAGCAAATCCAGTCCAAACATGAACATCCCAAACCTCTCACATGGGAAAGTCAAACATGAAGGTGTAATCCTTTCCTGGTTTTGCTTCTTTATAATAATCCAGGAGTGAAGAGCCATTGTTGTGAGAAATGTGGAAAGTCTTTCGCCAGGAAGGACATGCTAAAGGAGCACCTCAGGGTTCACGACGACAACCGTGACTACCTGTGTGCAGAATGTGGGAAAGGTCTGGTTCCACACCTCCAGCCAGATTATCTTTAGTCTAAACGTCCAGTTGAAGATCACCAGCTACGTTTTCCTTTGCAGGTATGAAAACCAAACACGCTCTGAGGCACCACATGAAGCTCCACAAGGGCATCAAAGAGTACGAGTGCAAGGAGTGCAACCGCAAGTTCGCCCAAAAGGTCAACATGCTGAAACATTACAAAAGACACACAGGTGAGTAAGCGGTCACGTCACAGCCCCACACAGGTGTTGATCAGACTGAGGAGGAGGTTTTGTTTTGTCCCTCCTGTATGCAGGTACTAAAGACTTCATGTGTGAACTGTGTGGGAAGACCTTCAGTGAGAGAACGACCCTCGAGACGCACAAACTGATCCACACAGGTGAGCTTCCATCACAACTGCTGATATTCAGCCTGAACATGCCCTCTTTAGGTTTAAAATGTCCTGTTGGAAGTCCTGGGACATTTAGCTGGAGATCGCCTTACAGTAAGAGAAAAGTCGAGACGTGGGGTTTTATTAAATAATCAAGTCGAAGAACTGATATAATAAATGTAGCTGGGAGTCTGTTTATGGATGAAGTGAGATATAATTGTCAGAGGAACAGCAGAATGTGAACAGGTGGACTTGCATTATGTGTGACTTGTAAATAAATTACATTTAAAAATAAAAACAATCCTTTAGCTTTGAGAGTGGGCTTATGTCCATCCATCCAAGACTTTTACAGAGATACCAGTTGTTAGGAACAAAAACAAAATAGTGACTAAATGTTGGTGTGCTCTTGATAAAGTTGGTCAAAAGTAGTTGATAGGTAATTGTACATTTATCCCATATTACCTTAAAGGACGACACAGAGAGAGAGAGAGAGTAGGTTATTCGTAATGTCCGTGACTCGTCATGCGAGAAACCCCTCCATGGAGCTAACCAGCCCCCCTCTGTTCCTGGGGAAAGCCTTCAGCTCACCAGCTCTGCATGCCCGCATCCTCCACCAAAATGTTAGGTAATTGAATGTGGGAAATATTTCATCTCCATAACCCTGGAACCTGAAATAAACACTCATGACAACAAGGAAGACATTTTACCCTGAGTCCCCAAAATAAAGGAGAGTTAACGCAGGGAAAAACCTCCTCCGAGGCTTTTCCCACGTCACTCCCATGTGTTCTCAGTTCGTCAGGGGCTTTATTCAGCAAAGGATGGAGAAGGCGGGGCCTTCTCAGGTTACAGAGGTACAGAGGTTTCTTTGGAAATCCACAATCAACATCCTTGACTGCAAACAAGCTTCTCTGCTCAACCTTTCATGAACAGGCACAGTTGGCAAACACAGAGATTCATGAAGTGTTAATAACATAAATTGGGCATCTTTTAGGACTCAAAAAGGTACAATTATAAAAATACCCAACAGTAGTGGTAATAGTCGTTAAATTGCAGAATGGAATAGAATATCCTTTTATTATCCTGCATTGGGGAAATGTTGGTGTCCCAGCAGCAGTCAGGTTCCCAACAGGACTGATGTAACAGACTGATGTTCCATTCTGTTATTTACAGCTCATATTTAATGAGTTATATGAATGTTTTGGAGCCAGTTTTGTTCTTGTTCAGTGTCTGAATGCAGAGCTGTCAGTGTGGTTACATTGGTAACGCATGTTTGTTAGAGGAGCAGAGTAGGAGGAGCTTCTGGGGGTTCTCATAAGGGATCTTCCAGGTGGTTCGTGACACTGAGCTGTTATTTTTCTTAAAGCTGAGAATAAACCTTTACTTCTAAAACTCCACAGTATTCATACCATCAAAACATTAAAAGAGGATGCTAGCTTGATTATTTAGGTCACCAAGCAGAATTGGAATCACTACTGAGTGATTTTAAGGACGTTTTTACTCACAATGCTAGTTGGATTCATTCACTTACTGTGTTTTATGCTAAGCTAAAGGAGTACAGCTGGACCAGGAGAATGACTGGGCTGGTTACAAATAGTTTTTTTCTACTCTGTCTCGCTGCAGTGGGTAAAACGTGGAAGTGTCTGACGTGTGATAAGAAGTACCTGACTGAGTACATGCTGCAGAAACACGTCCACCTGACCCATGAGAAGGTGGAGGCCCAGTCGTGTCACCTGTGTGGGACAAAGGTGTCCACCCGTGCCTCCATGAACCGCCACCTGCGACGCAAACACCCAGAGGTGAGTGCACCCATCCAGCTCTGGTCAGACCTGTTCCTCTGAGAGACTTGACCTCTGCTTTGTGTCTGCAGGTGGCTTCTGCCCGGATTGATGAGTTTGATGATCTTCAGGAAAATTCATCCATCAGCATCATACAGGTTAGACTGAACTTCACACACACACACACACACACACACACACACACACGGTTCGCCAACAATCAAACATGGTGGCCGCAGGAGTTTGAGTCATGAGAAGCTTCAGTCTGTAGTTGTCCAGGTAGGAATTAGGCTGCGTGTCTCATATGGTTCTCAGCTTGTGCAGATGTTTTTTCATCTTTACATCAAAGATGGTCTAGTCCAGAACCATCAGATCTGGAGAAGCAGTTAGTTCTGTGTGGGAGTGAATGTTTTGCTCTAAGCTTTAGTAGGAGATTTATAACACACATGAAATGCCATCTATCAGTCTATGTACCCAGGGGAAGCCTCCGATTAGATCCAGAATGCCGATGTCCTCGAGGACCCTCTTTGGTACCAAAGCCGGTAGAAAAGCAGCGGTGCCGACCAAACTAGTCTTGGAACGCTTCCAGGTCACAACAGGTTATCACTGGCGTCTCCAAGACCCTGAAGGGGTCGTGAGGTTCAGCTTTTATTCTGAAGGAATCGTTGCAGTCAGGTGTAATGTGCAACCGATTTTATCCAGCTTGTCGAGGTTCTGTTTGGCTGAAGAGGAAGTCCGGATGGCCTGTCCGAGACTTCTCTAGAATACTTTGAAGTAAAGAAAAGGTGGCGTGGGATAGGTTTTATAATTGTCATATTTTGGTTTACTGGCGAATCAGAATTTGACATGCAAAAGAGAGTTTATACAAACACCACAGAAAACCACGCCTAACCAGAAACGAAGGTTCTGATTGGGTCAGACAAAAGGAAATGTGTCGTGTGGCTTTAGCATTACGTGTCATTAGTGTCTAGTGCAAATGTCCAAAATTATAATAACTTGTAAAATACTACTTATCACAGGATTATAATCTCAAGTAATAACATTGTCATTTCACAGATTGATTGAACATTGGGCTCACATTATTAATGGTAATTAACAAAGTTGTTGATTATGTATTATCAGAATAGTTCTTGTCTTCGCTGACAGAGGTGAAGCAGTTCAGATGAGCAGAGTGCACGAAAGACCTTGGCCATTATCTCATGTAGATTAGCCTGTCAGAGACTTTATGTCTCTGCTCGAGCAGACGCAGCAGATCATGACCTTTAGGTCAAAAACAGGACATTCATGACGCTACAATGGCATTCTATAGTTTTAGTTAATTTATGACAAAAGAGCTGAACACTGAAAAACTGGCATGGCTGCTTAGAGCAGGGCACAGGGTCAAGGCCTGTTACTGACAATATCAGTCATTCACATAAAGGAGATTTTTATTTCATTATCCGAAAGTATCTGATTAGTTTAGTTTGATCTTCACAATGTCACTGTGCTTCTTGTAGTTTATTATGATATTGAGTTTATTGAAATATGCATAAATATTGTGAATACAATGCATGTTAATATGAGTATCGAGTTTTTAACATAAGAATATTCACACACTGAAAGGATCGATGTGAATTAATGGTGTGAAGGAAGCAGCTCGGTACTTTCATTTCACGGGCCAGAAAAGGCTGGAGACCCCTGATCTAGTCTGACCAATGTCTGGTGTCTTTCTGCAGCCGCCCCTGTCCCTGGAGAAGGACAGCACGACTCAGGGCCGCCACTGCCGGCCTTCTCGGCAGCCAAAGAAAAGGCTGAGAGTTCCGGTGGAGCCGGAGCTCTCTGAGTCCGATGATTACGTGGATTTTCCCGAGCCGAGGCATCAACCCCTTCCGGAGTTCAGCACGGTCATTGTTGGGGAGGAGACGGAGACTAGCTCTGCTGTGCAGAGCATACAGCAGGTCAGTTCACAGACCTGCACAGGAGATCCTGACAAAAACACTTAGGAGTTCTGGTCCAACGGATGTGATCGGTCCCATAAAAATATAAACCCCATTTCTGTAAACAGAGGCTGTTCAGGAAGCTATGAAAGTACGCAGCGGGTACAGAAAGTGTTCAGATAAATTTTTTCCCCCTTAGTTAAATATCAGCCATTTGCTAAAATCACATAAATGAGTCATTTTCCTCATTAATGCACACACAACACCCCGTACTGACAGAAAAACACAGAATGTTAGAAAAGTCTGCGGATTTATTAAACTGAAACATCTCATGGTTCCTACCAAGTACTCAGACCCTTTGCTCAGTATTTAGTAGAAGCACCTTTGAGCTGACGCAGCCACGAGTCTTCTCGGTAAAGATGCAACACGGTTCTTACTCCCGGACCGGGGATCCTCTCCAGGTCTGTCAGGTTGGATGGTGAACATCAGATGCTTTAGTAGGTTTAAGTCAGGGTTCTGGCGGGGCCGTTAAGCAACAGTCAGCGTGGCCGTGAAGCAACCCCCCCCCCCCCCCCCCCCCCCCGGGCGTTGTTTTGGCAGTGTGCATCGTCATTGTTTATTTTTCTGATATTTTTTGTAATCATGTTTGTCGTCGTCTGAAGTTTAGGTGAGCACCACAGTTACTCTTAGGTGAGGTTATGATTGAAGCCTCTCCTTGCTGCTGGTGTTTCAGGTGGTGGTCCTGACAGACCCCAGTGCGCCATCGGCCCCCTCCCCCAGCAGCTCAGTGGGGCTCACAGTCACACCCATCACCAGCCACAGCTCTACCCAGTTCACCAGCCTGCAGCCTGTAGCCGTGAGCCACCTAAGCACCAGCGACCGCCCTCTCACCTTGGACAGCTCCATCCTCACCGTCACCTTCGACACCGTGAGCGGCTCCGCCATGCTGCATAACCAACCCTCAGAACTCGTCCCAGAGGCCATGGGTCCTGCCGGCACCTCAGCACCCCACTCTGTTGCCCACTTCATCAATCTCGCCACCCTGGTCAATCCCATGGGCCACCCGCTGGATGCTCCGACTCTGCCTTGGAGGCCTGTGCCGGCAGCCGAGAGCAGCCAAGTCACCCCAGTGGTGGAGGGGGCCCAGGGGGATGGTCAGGGTCCAGAGCCCGGACAGAGCAGCCAGAGTCAGACGTCCATCCCACAGCAGCAGAGTGGCTCCCACCAGATGTTCAGCTACTGAGCACACACCGGGGTGCAGGTCACCTCATTGTTTCACAGATTAGATTATTTCTTTTGGACTGAACAGAACTTTAATCAGGGTCACCCAGAGGGCTCCCCAGTCGTTTTTAGTTCCCTTTGTGTACAGATAAAGCAGCGGCTGCTAACAATGTACGAAAAGATGAGATAAGCAGTTCAGATCTAGAATCCGCTGCTGAAACCAAAGCACCGTCTGAAGGATCCCCACGCCTCATCATCCCTGATCACCTCTGTAGGAAGAAAAAACACTCCTGGTGGGAGGAGGGATGTGGAGGTGTGGTCAGAACTCTGGTAGATCCAATCATCAGTTATGTAAGCTAATTATTGTTTATCTTAAAGAAGAAACTGGGTTTTCTATTATTTTTAAACGACATGCTTCCTGTCTTTCTTTGTGTGTGTGTGTGTGTGTGTGTGTGTGTGTGTGTGTGTGTTTGTGTGTGTGTGTGTGTGTGAGAGAGAGAGATTGCAAAGTTACTATTCTTCTGATAAAATCCAAGTTCTCCACCTCAACAACACCCAACGCTAAATACAATGGCTGAAAGAAAGCTAAATACACTAAATATGGAGAAAAACAGTAGCAGCATGATCCTACCCACAGAAGCAGCTGTTTAAATTAAAGCCCAGACTTTCGTCTTTTCAACAGAATAAGTACCGTTACTCCACAGGTACAGGCTCAGATACAGCAAGACTATCTAGCACTTGTAAATTAAGATCATTATTGCACATAACGAGAGTACTAGTACTGCACATGTCTTGAAAGATAATATTTGATATTTAAGAGCAGGAAAGCAGCAGGGTCTGATGGGATCAGCCTCAGACTTACCAGAGACTGCTGACCAGCTTTGTGAAGTGGTCATGCATATGTTACCTGAGCCTTCATCTGGAGCAGGCCCCCATCCTGTGGAAGACCTCCTGTGTGGTTCCAGTTCCCAAAACATCACATCCCCGGGAACCAGACCACTACAGACCTGTCTCCTTGACCTCCCATCTGATGAAGATTATGGAGAGACTCCTCCTCACCCATCTATGTTCAGTGGTGACCCCGGAAATAGACCCACTGCAATGTGTATATAAACCAAACATGGGGGTGCAGGACGTGCTCACCTACCTGCAGCACCGGGCTGTGACTCACCTCCAGATGCAAAAGAGTACTGTGAGAATCGTGTTCTTCGACTTCTCTAGCAGTGTTGTTTTTGGCGGCCGTCTTAGTCTTCGTCTTCACGCCGAAAATGCATTTTAGTCTTAGTCAGTTTTAGTCGACTAAAGTTCAAAAAGGTTTCAGTCGACAAAGATTTTTATTTTTAATTTTACAAAAACCTTAAATAAACAAAGTATTCTCTAACAAATGCATGTGTCGGTCAGACGTGTACTCTGAGCTACTGGAGTGAGTTATTTTATGGCTATGGGACACAATCTCAGCTGCCCCAGATTTAGTAAAACAATAATCCCCAGACTGGTATCATTACTTTATTGATAATCACTATAGTGTTTATAATTTATTGATGCAAATCTGTGCATCACTCTGTAGATTTCCACTAAAGAACTCTAAGGGAGCATACGGAGTATTCTACACCATGTTTATACAGAAATAAAGAAATGTGGTTAATCTATTGTTTGAGTTATCAGACCTCCATCTTGAATGTATTTTGTGGAAAAGTCCACCTGCAGTCGTGTTTTTCCACAGACTGCAGAGTTGTGAGTTTTCACTGAATTAATATAAATAACCCGGTTCTGCTCCTGACCATCAGCAGCTCATAAACATTTAGACGGGCCAGGGGCGATTCTAGCATCAGAGTTTTGGGGTGCTGAGCAGCCAGAGTTCTGCCCGATCAGGCAAGATCAATTTCAACATTTTCTACATTTTAACACAATTTCATTTTCACATTTGTGAAAGAAAACAAAAACACTGTTTTCACTAATCAAATTACATTTTACGTTTTAAACATCACAATCTTTATGTGTACCAGATTCTGCTAACACTGTAGCAGAACATGGTCCAGGTTTAGGGATCTTCTGTCCTTGACCACCCCTTGGCTGTGTGGTGACCTCACCATCTCAGCACAAACATGTTGTAGAAGAAGAAGAAACAATCTCTTGTATAGTGCCTCTCAAGATAAAAATCATGAGGTGCTTGTATGTACTGAGATCCCCACACATTTTGTGGGAACCACCAACATCATGGTAATGTACCCAGCAGGCTTGAAGTAGACCTCCATCTTCACTGGTTTGAGACGCGGGCTCCTAATAATGCCACCGCCCCTTTGCAGCCGGGCTTTGTTGCCGCTCTGGTAGCTGTAAATCGACGTTGATGAGCTTGCAGTGGGATAGATGAATCCAAGATGGCCTCTCAGCAATCTTCACAGCAGTAGGGGTGGACCTTCTCACCTCTGGCTGCTCCAATTGTTTTGCTTCAGCACCTTAATCAGAACCCATTTTCCTGGTTTCACAACTTGTGGGCAAAAAAGCACAAGAAAATTCTGGGAGATCACTGTTGAGTTTGACTTGTTTTCTGCAAAAATTCTTCTCATCCAATATCCAAAGTATTTGTGATATGTGCGTCATGGTCTGTGTCTCTTTGTGTTCCTCATGTGTCCCCTGGTCTTCAGTCCTCCAGATATTCCCTCTCAGGTCCTGTGTTCCTTCAATCTCCCCCAGTCACCCCTCTGCAGTTTTTTATAGGTTCAGCTTCTCTTTTTATTAGTCTCTTCAGTATGTTTTTTTCCACAGGTTTTTGTAGTTTCCCTTCCCCTTAGAATACTAGTTTATTTTGCTGGCTCATCTTGTCTTTAGGTTTTTTTTACTCTCTTAGGTCATGTTAGTTTTCCTCCCTGATTATTTAATTGTTCTCACCTGGTTCTCTCTCCACACACCTGCAGCCCATCTGCCTCCCATCATACCCCAGTGTATATAAGCCCTGTCCTGTCTCAGTGTCTTGTCGGTCCATTGTTTGTTTGTCAGCGTTGTTTGGTGCTCCATGTGAGCTTTTGTTTCTTGTCTCCATGTTTTGGTGCTCTAAGTGAGCTTTTGTTACCTGGCATCTAGGTTTTGTGCTCTGTGTGAGCATTTGTTCTCCTGAATCAGGATTTTTGCAGTCTTGGCTCCCTGCCTTTGGATTTATTTTGTTCATCCTACAAATAAAAGGATTTTTTCTTTATATCAACTCCTGCCTCGTGTTGTCTGGGGTAATCTGCATTTTGGTTCCTAACCATCCTCATAACGTGACAATGTGGTAAAGGAAACAGACCACCAGAGGGAGCAGTTACCCTCATCCACAGTTGTAATAAATGTTCTTTTAGCCCAAATCCAAGGTATCAAACATCCAGCCATTACCTCATTCACAAATGTGTTCTATTTACTTATCTTAAACAGAGGCACACAGGTGGGTGCGTTGCACCTTTGCTACTTGTTAATGCATCATTCTTCTGTGTAGGATCCATTTTCATTTAGATATGTGAAAGCTTTATAAAGTCCATGTGGATTGTGAGAGTGTGTTTAGGAAACTTGTCATCAGTCATCCCTCCTCTTGAGACATGAGATAACCCATGGCTCATCAGAGCAGCAATGGCATCAAAGGATATAGGCAAAACAGGTCCGTTATTGGCATGTAAGACATCATATACAGTATGTTGGCACATTAAACTGGTGGATAGACGCTGTGTCATGTGCAGAATATCAACAGGGGCAGCAGAGACCCACATGGCAGCACAAAACGATGCAAAAGGTGGATCTCGCATAATATGTCCCCTCAAAGCCAAAAACACCCATCTCAAGGAACTTGCAATTACGAGGTTAAATCCGCAGGGGGCAGAGTCATGCAGCATAGCGTGCATCAAACTTGCAAACAAAACAAAAATGCCTTAATCAGTGTAAAAAATTTTGAAAATAAACGCCATGTGATCCGCATCACCGATAAGTTACAGGAGAAATTGCTGTAGAAGAGTCGTTGCAGAAGATTGTATTCTTACGAAATCAAAAGGAATTAACCCATCTGGGAAATAAAGGAGCTGAACATGCATTCACAAGCTCATATCACAAAATAATGGTGGTAAATGTCATAGACTCTGTGTGTTTTGCTCTCCTTTTGCCAGAAGCATTCACCTTTATTTACACCCTCAGAGCTAAATTATAGAATGTCACCAAAACCAAGACCTTTATTTTTTCTTTGCTTTAAACATTGGAGTTAAATAAGAGCGATACTAGTCCTAATTATAAGATTAATTCTCAACTTCACATAGATTCAGTTTAAGAAGGGTGTTTCAGAGTACATCAACAATGTTTAATTGTATTCTAATAATGCCTGATATTTGTCAACAGGAAATAAATAATGCTAAATTAAAACTCCGTAAGTGAAGACTGAACAGCAGATATATTTAAGGAGAATAAAATTCATTTGTCACATAGAGACATCGAACATGCAATACAACTGGTTATCTTAGGTTTACACAACCCTAAGTGTTTGAAAACATAATAATTATTTCAGGAATAGACTATCTAAACAGGAGATAGACATATAAAAATGTAATTTGTCTAAAACGTTTATACATCAGGAAACAAAGTTATGAAGAGGAAGAGCCCTTATTAGTATAAAGGTCAAGCAGAGGAATATAACCTAAGTGTGAAAACGAACAACTAAGGTATTTATATTCAGAAAACAGCAAGAAATAAGAGACTGACAGACTTAAAACTACTAGATGCACATGCAATTGCGTAGGTTATTCTTAAAATAATGTGACCATCAAAGAACATTTGTTAGACCATAGTTTAAAATACATGCTACTGAACAAATCTAAGGTTCTTGTAGGACAATTGTCACCTTACAGTGCTCGTCATGCAAATAATAAAAACAACAATAATGATGAGTCAAGAGTGAGGGCTGTTCTCTTTGTTGAAAAAAGGAGATAAGAAAGTGAGAGATGATTTACTCAACAAGAGTGAAGTAAGGTGTATCACACCCAGAACAGACATCTAATGTATTCTTGTCAGAATCTGATAATGAAGACTCTCTGTGGACAATGATACTGATATGCTTTAGTTAAATTCAATTCAAGTTCATTTATGAAGCGTCAAATCACGACAAGAGTATTCTCAAGGACCTTCACATAGTAAACATTCCAATTCATCAAGCCAATCAGTAAAATGTTTCCTATATAAGGAACCCAGCAGGTTGCATCGAGTCACTGACTAGTGTCAGAGTCTTTACAGCAATCATCATACTAAGAAAGCATGCACAGTGGAGAGGAAAACAGGAAGAAACCTCCAGAGGATCCTGGCTCAGAATAAGCAGACATCCACCATGACTCACTGGGGATGGAGAAGACAGAGGGTGCACGCGCGCGCGCACACACACACACACACACACACACAACAT